TATGTTGTTGTTTTTTTTTTTTTTTTTTTTTCACCTCTCCAGGTTGAAGAGCTGAAAGATTTGTACACTATCTGCATTGAGGAGCATCTGGCCTGTCAGAACTGCTCTTTTGAAATGAAGAGCAAGAGCACCATGTTAACCCTTCCACTGTCAGTGCTGGATGCTGATTCTCACTGGCTGAAGAGTCTGGTAAGTTTAGAAGCAGAGCTATTTCCCTGGGAGGYGATTCCCATCTGATCACTGTGGGAGCCTTCTCCTGATGGCACTGGTGTCTCCTTGGTCTCATCTAGAATCCCTGCAAGAGTCTCTGTAGAGTGTCTGGGACTTTGAGAATGAGAAAAGACCACCTCATTCTCATTTCTTTTTTGGAGGAGTTTTAAAGTTCACAAAGAATTTTAGTTTGAGGGCTGAAAAATAAATGCTCTGAATCACTTCCCTAAAAAGAGTGTTGATTAAATGGTCTGTAACAGACTCAAATACTCAAACTGCACAGTGATGTGCACCTGGGAGACCTCAGATACCACAGAAAGGTGCCCTAGATAGCTTGGAATCCCTGTGTTTCCCCAGTGTCCTTTCACTGGGCTGCTGTTGGATATCCAAATACAGCAGTGTCTGTTGTATGTGATTCTGGATGTAGTGGATTTTTCAAATGCTGGTGGACCACTGGACCTTATTGATTCTCTGACCACTTTATACTATTTCAGCATAAAGAAACTGCTTAGAAAATCKCTCAGTTTTTGAAGTATGTATAAAAGGCACATATACATCAACATCTTCTTTGTGGAATATGTGGTAGTAGTTTTTTGTTTGCTTTTTTTTTCCCAACTAATGCAATTACAGCAGCAGCTAGGAGAAACGAGGTACCTTTTGTTCAGACTGCTAGGCAGTCTTTTGTCCTTGGATAAAATACACTTTCTGTAGCTTTATCATTTACTTGGAGCTGGTGAAATAATGTAGACATAAAAGTCCAGCTTGAAGGAATTCAGTTGAAAGAAATCTCTTCTTTCTTCCCAGGAGGACTGTGTGCAGCACTTTTTCCTTCCAGAAGAGCTGACTGGTCCAAACATGTGTTTCTGTCAAAAGTGTGGGAGGAARACACCTTTTCTGCAGGTAATTTCCCCATGTCTCAGACCCAGAACTCCCTTTAGGACGGGGAGGGTGGGGAAAGGACTCAACCATATCGATTTAAGAGGAGACCAACAACTCAGATTTGTCAGCAAGGTACAAACCACACACATCTTTCCTCCTGTTAGGAAGTTCCCTTATGTAGATGTAGTTCTTGCCACAAATCAGTACTTTCATGGGTTTTCATAAAAGTCAGTGAGGGATGTGGAATTTCTGTGAAAGCAGAAAAGCTGCTGTTAGTTTGTGCTGTGTGCCCACTGTGGGCCTTAATGCTGCTGTGGAGCTCCAGAGGTAGACAAAAATATCTCACCTGATCTGTTCATGCACGTAAAAAGTAGGATGCTGTATCATGATTTCCTTTCTTCCCTGCTCTCCACTGGGCTCCCCATTTTTTGAGGTATTAGTCTCTGCCAGATGATGAATTAGCTGTTTCAGAAAGAGCAGGTGCATTAAAGAGAGCAGGCTGTGAGGGAGACTGCCACAGCCCTAGGCTTGAGAGGACTTTCTAAGCACTATCAGTGTTGGGCTGCCTCTGAGGCCACAATGCATCCACGTGCCTTGGTGGCAGCCCCAGCAGCCATCCCARCAAAGGCAGTGCTGAAAGGAGAGAGCTGTCAGCCTTCACGGAGCTCAGGTGGTCACACCTCACAAGGAATCTGACTTGCCTCTCCTCACCCACCTAGTGCTACCAGCCTAGGGCTGGGAAAGCACGTGAGAAATGGAGCAGCTTATGAGACACCTGAGGCTGGGTGCTGATCACACTAAAGCTGAGAAACTTGGTTATCACAGCTCTGTTATGTGGATGTGCCTTGTRTGCAGATGGGTTGCAAAGGTTTGGCACCTGCTGTCTGGTGGAATTGGCAATATCCCCTGGAGCCCTGACTGTTCTCCATTCTACATGCACTGGGTGACAATGGCTGTTTCCACCCCACCTCCCCAGGGTTTGTTCCCTAGTTTTCAATTGCAKTTTTTATTGCTTTACAGAGCATGAAACTCGTCCATCTGCCGCAGACTCTGACCTTGCACCTACAGCGCTTCAACTTTGAAAGATCATCTCGCACGTACAAGCTTAGTCATTACCTGTCATTCCCACAACACCTTGATTTCAGGGAAGTCTTGACAGAAAATCAGTGCCAAGCAGATGACAGTGAAAAGGTAAGATACTCCTAAGGCCCAGTTCAAAAAGGGCAGATTTTCYTCTCCTCTCTGCTTAAGTCTCATAAAAATTTAAGAGATCACACCAGTACTTGCCTCAGTTCAAAGTTGTTTTTTTTTTTTTTCTCTCAAAAATCTCTGTCTCAAATTTTACCTGTGCCTGGTGTTGTCTCACATCCCATAGTTYTAACTGGTTCAGTCATTATTCAACACTCTGTGCTCAGATTAAATCACCAAAGGCRCTGGAGTTTCCTGCCTTAAGGACAAAAGTCAGGCTTTGCAGATCTCACCTRTCCAAGACAGGGGAACTCCATTCCTGGTATTTCCCATGCAATATTGTTTGCCACAGAGTTGAGATTAGCAGGAAACAACAGCTTTGCTAAGCAGCTAGAGAAGGATCTGCTCCAGTGTGGATCTTTTTTTTACTGTGAAATAACAAGGGAAAGTGTGGCAACAACAGAATTCCCTGATGCAGTGTTGGCTGTGGTGATCTTCTTTGCTGCTCCTTTGCTGTCCTGCTGCCTTTTTCACAGTCCTGTGGTCGCCAGGGACACTGCCAGCCCATAACTGACAGGCAAAACTCTGAGGGTAAGAGCAAAAAAGGCAGGATGCTCAAGGCCAATACAATCTTTTCCCTTTTTCCTTACAAAATGCRCATCCTTGCTGCCCTGGCTGCTGCTTCTCTTCAGTCCATGGCAGRTGGGAATTGTGGCATTGAAAGCTCCTCTTTGTGTCTGTTTGCAGGCTACCTGGCAGTATGAGCTTTTTGCTGTTGTTGCTCATTCTGGATCAACCAGCTGTGGGCATTACTGTGCCTATGTTCGAAGCCTCACAGAGCATAAATGGTATTGCTTCAATGATTCCATGGTTTGCCCGGTGAGCAGATCAAACCACATTTCTTTTTTATCTATCTGGACAATCCTCCAGGTCTTGTTCAGTCTGACTGACTGCTAACTAGAGAGAACCAGGAAAGGAAAGGGAGGCTGCAGAGCTTTGTGCACCTCTGCTACAGGATGCTCTGGGCTGAGGGCAAAGTGGCTCTCACTTCTGTACCAAACAAGGTCTCAGATTCTGCTTTGTGATTTGCAAAAACAGCCATTTGCTGAATACCTTACTCTATGTACTCTGCATCTGTTTAATGTAGATGTTCAGAAGAGGAACTGTTTTTCCTTGAAGATAAAAGCAATAAATCAGTTTATGGAAGGKTGTTTCATTCCTGGAAGTGCCACTTATGCACCAGGAACTAAACGTAATGTACCCATGCCTTAAGAGTTTTTATCAGTCTCCTCTTGTGTGTTTTTCTTCTGTAGGTATCATGGGATGATGTTAAATGCACCTATGGACATCCCAGACTTAACTGGTATGCAAATGGATCCCTGTTTTTACCTAATGCTGCTCTGGACTTWGGAATGAGGGCAGCGAGGAGAGGGAAGACAAATGGTTTTGGTTGAATATCACCTGGGATGCAGTGGGGACACAGGAGAGGAGGCATCCTTGTGTCCCAGTTACTCTGATGGGACTGCATGTGACTRTCCTGGGAGCCTGCAGGGTTACAAATGGGGCTGCAGGAGTGGTCTTGTTACTTAGGATTGCCACTTGGACCCTCTGGTATCCTGACTGAAGCTATATGTGTCAGTCAGGATTTYGCCATGCTTTTTGTTTTGATGTATCATAAAAAAAATGAACTTATCCGAGTGAAATAATCCCTCCTATAAATTGCAGCACCACTGAGRAATCTTGGGAGCACAGGAGAGGGCAAGCTTTGTTAACCTAAACCTCAGAAAGCTGAGCAGGAACAAGCCTGGGACATTACTTGCATCCTAGATCTTTGAACATACTGTGTGTTTTGCTTTCCTTTTGCCTCCACAGGAGAGAAACGGCTTATCTCTTGATTTACATGAAAAAGCATCCTCAGTAGGCCTATCCAGGAGTATCAGAATATCTCAGAATGCTGTGCTTTGTCCATGGACATTGTGGATGTCTGTGCCAGTGTGGATATGTACAAATGTTTCRCAAGAAGGACGTTCTGCAGCCAGCAACCCTGGTCTTCACATTCATTTATGAAGAAAGTACAGCAGACACTAGAGTAGGGATCTAAGAACTGTTGCAACTAGAAACCTGTTCTTTCATGTATTTATTTTATTTATGTGATTCTCCATGTTCATCTCCTCTTTAAAAGATGGTGAAGTTAGTCCTTTCCTCTGCTAACTTACCACTTTCCTTAATGGTGATGCCTGGATTCTAGTCCAGAGGAGATGTTTGGCCTGACAGCCTKTGTGATGTTCCAGGGAAGTGTGTGGTATGACCGGAGAGCTGTGAGAGCCACGTAGAGCCAGTAGGACCCGTAAGAGCTTGAAACTTACTTTGTTCTTTTAGCACTGTTTAGATCCTGATAAGGTGGGCAGGAGATCCAAAAAGTCACCCCAGATACAGCTGGATCAGAGGAGGAAGGATCAGAACCCTTATGAATACACACCAGTGACACTCCTTAAAACCTCCCTAAAAATAAATCACTGCAGGGGCTGAGATGTACAAAGAGGTATTTAAAATCAGGAACTATTGGAGCCRTTCTGATTTACAAGATGAGTTTGTATGTATTTCTGCTGGTGATKATTGTTTCAACAGACTTATCAGGTGTTTATATGCATTTGCTTTCCTGTAGAGCAGAAAATATTCAAAGTAGTGGAGATTATGAAGGTAATTAGTGATTTTGCACAATACAGGCCTGTGATAAGGAAAGTGAGAGGCCTTGATGTGCTTGAACTTTTGGGGTTTTCCTTAAGTATTCTTAACCTGGTTGCCACCTGGAATTGTCTTGCCTCTCTCTTTCCTTCTCGGCTCATACAGCTCAAACGTCCTCAAAGCAGAAAGATGTTCTGGAGAGAAAAATTTTGTAAAGAAAGTGAGTAAKTTTTTAATCTCCTGTTGAGTTTTGTCACTCTGTTGGTTCAGCCAAGGCAGGATCACAGAGTTGGAGTGAAACGGTAAAGAGAGCTGGRAAGAATGGTTGGTGATATGTGACAGCTGGAACAAGAATGTTCCAAAGGCTCATCACAAGGCTCTGTGGAGAGGAAAGTTAAAAACTTTGATTGTGTGCCTTTTAAAGCACTCGTGGCATTAAGTGTTGATGTGCCACAGTCTGTGAAAGGATCAAGGATMCCAGCAGTTTGAGATCTGGAAGTGCCTTCAACCTAATATATTCTATGTCTGTGTCTTTACAAAGGTGCTTTTTTATGGGACTGAGCAATTATAACATTATTAATGAAGATATAATACCACCTATGTATAAATTTATTTTATTTTGGTAATGATGAAGGTCCCAAATTATGTCAGTTTTCTGTTGATATGTGGAAGGTGAATTGAGAAATCTTGGAACATAGCTGTGAAGTTACTTTTAGGGTGTAGTGGGTATTTATTTTGCTGTAGTAGCAAGGYCTRTTATTCTGCTCAACTCTTGTATCTKTATTATTCATTCTGTGCTAAGAAAAACAAACCTGGTGTATTGTTTGTCAACAGAATGAGGAATTTTCTGCTTCTTCGCCTTCAGGAATGCACTGCGCTTTTTCTTACCTACTCCTTGCAATGGGTGGGTAAGAAAACCAAGTTTCTGTTTGCTTTTCCAGCACTTTGCCTATGTGAAGGAAATGAAAAAAAAAAAGATGCACTTTCAGAAACTGACAAGTTAATGGGTGAAGAGACTGACAAGATATTTCTAATTAGACATAACTTGAAATTTAAAAACTTATGCTTGTGAAAAAATGCCTTAAATGTTTCATAACCTTCCAGGGATGTCACCCATTGAGGAAATAATTGCAGAGATATATTAAGAATTTTTTTCAGTCAGTGAAAAAAAATTAATTTCAGTGAAAAGTAAACAGTGTTTTATTTTGAATAAAGTATTCTAGGATCAAGTCCCTAAAAATGAGTCTTGTGGTTTATTCTTGGTCTGTTCTTCCTACACACTGTAAGTGAGGTGGGAGGCAACAGGCCACGTGCACWGAGGTGAATGCTCAGGTCAAATACTCAGGGCAGAGCTGCTGTTAAWGTTTAGCTCCAAGAGCCAAGGAAAAGCAGCTAAACCTGGACACTTCATCCTTGTGCTGGAGGCACAATGAGTGTCTTTTCAGCTTATATTGCTTCCACGTGCAGATGGGCCAAGGGAGGAGTGGGAGGGTGAGCAAAATGTATGGCTGTGCAAAAACTCAGATTTAAAAACCACCTGTCGTGAGCTGCTTTTGCAAAAAGTCACCTTGGTGGCCTCTGTGTTCACAGCAAAGCTCAGACTTGTGCTGGACAAACTGCCCAAGGAGTTACTTTGATCTGAGGAGCCCCTTTTAGCACACTGCCTGGGATTTGGAGCTCCTGTGCTGCTAAACACAGCAGTGGGAGCGTGGAGCCCTCACCCTGGGGCTGCTGACATTAAACAGCTCCCAACATTTCCGCCAAAAAAACATTTCTTCCATAGAGCCACCTCAAAGGAGCCAGGAKTATTTGTCCTGTGTTTGAGTCACTGTGCAAATGAAGCCCAGCACCAACTGCAAGGGCTTTCAGAAGCCAGATTAAGCCAAGAGCATGTTTGGAGAGATTATTGTAGGTCCTGCTAACTCCTTGTTTCCGTTTTTTGTTTGGTTTAGGATTACCATGTTTTAAGAGAAGGAGCAGCAGCAAATAATACATTCTCTGCTTCATCTGACAGACTCTCCCTCAGGTTCAGATATTCTCCATCTTCAAGAAACACCCAGAAAACCAGAAAAAAGTAAACACATGTAATAAATATCTCACACATATAATTTCTAAAACATCAATATGTTGTAAATAACAAAATGGTATGTGAAAGTAAAAGAGAAATATTTTTTGATACTTTACTTCCAGTATCATTTTAGTTTACAAGAATCATTTATCCAGCTGAGGACTTAAAAATAAAGTGAATGATGACCTTCTCACACACTTCAGAAATGTTCTGTGCTTTTGACTATTTTCTTATGTAGACTAATGTTTAAAAATTTGGCAGCTGGTGGGATGCAGTTTGAAAATGCTTTGCTGTGCAAGGGATTTCCCAAGCAAGGAGTGGGATAATGGTCTCCATATGTGCCTTTGTGATGGACAGAGTGGAGCTGGAGAAAAGAGTGGAGCTGGGAAAGACCCTCCGGTGAGGGAGGTGGCCACACGTCACTGAAGGACAGGGACATTGCAGCTGCGGTGGAAAGACTGTCATTAATCCCTTTCTGCAATGATTTGAAGTGAATTTCTTCCTGTCTTTTGTTGCAAAGCAGCTGAACAGGTACTCTGTGACCAGGACAAGTGGATGATTCAGACAGTCATGGTGATCATTGATCTATCCTCTACATAATCCCTTTTTCTCACAGATATGGAGAAAAAATCACACAGGGTAATAAAATCTCCACATAGCAGCCCTGGGCACTACAACTGCTGGTTAAACCCTGCTCTCATTGCAGAATTGAGCCCAACAGGCTGGATCTTTTTGAGCTCAGAAATAAAATTAAAAGGGTCCTTCTGAATTGAGTGACCATTCATCATACAGTGGCTGAGAACAAAAGCCATGGGGAGCCTTGAGATCAAATATATATATTAAAATATATAAAAATAAATCTAAATATAAATACAAATGTGGGGATTAAGCCGTATTGGGAATATCTTTAACAATGATTTCTCCTRTGGACAGGTTTATGCTTTCTGCTGAGAAAAGCAGCTTTGTGGCATCTTCTGTTGAAGTGTTCAGCACAGGTGAGATGAGAAATGGTTCTTGGGGCTTTTGCCAGCTCCCCAAATACCACTTTTCTTGCAGAAAGCAGAGACCATGAGGTATACAAAAACCTGCAACCTCAGCCAATGCAATATTGCTAAAATTGCCATGAGGAGCTCTCTCCATAAATTCACATGAGGARCCTGCAATCAGTTTTTAAGTTCTTTGAAGGGTGAGATAAACCCAGATCCCTTCCTCCTCTTACTATAGCACTTCTGCCCATATTTTCCTTGTCTGCAGCCAGTCTGGTCAGGCAGGTGACACCAGGAAATTGCTGAGAATTGCAGTAGACTTTATCAGCAATCTCCGCATCAGGGGAATGTGTGATGTGTGATGTTTATTACCTTTGAAATATATCAGGAAATGCAGGTATTTATTCCTGGAAATATTCAGGAAATATTTGAGTGAGTGGAGATTGTTAGTAGGTACAAGGCTTTTCTTAGCTATGGAAAAAAATTGCATACYACAAGAGTAAGAATTTCTGCCCAGCTTGTTTTTCTTTGTAGTTTTTGTGGCATTTGTTTTCTTTTGGCACTGGGTATTATTATCCCAGCAGGTCATGTAGGTGTTATCTTTGATGGGTGTGCGTAGCTATAGGAACTTAATGGGCAGTGAGTAGATTTGGAAATGGGAATTTACAATAATTCCTTAGAGACTGAGTATAWCTTATTTTCATAAGTTAAAAATAGGGAAGGATGAGTATGCAGCAGATAAGTATACAGCATCTTGGGTGGTTCTTTACCTGCAAATGTCACCTAATGGACTTTTGCTAAGAAAGTRGGCTTAAAAATATACTGAATTATAATATAAAAGGAGTCTGGAAATGAGCTGAAAATTAAAAGATGATCTTCTCAAGAAAGGTTTTAAAAAGCAGATTTTTCCCTGCATCTGAGACTGGAAATAAAATATGTCAAGTCACAACGTGCCAACTTCATGAAATGCTTTTCCAGTCACCATAAAAAGATCTTAAATTCTTGCCATTCTATGTTTTTGTTCATTTAGATAAACCAACTAAATGCCCTTTGACTGGAAAAACCTGGAGAAGCAATATAATTTAAAAAAAAAATATGTAGGAGGTGGTCAAAGTTTTGAATCATGTTTCTGTTTGGAGTGCCATTTTCTGTATTCAGTCATCAACACTTGTCTCCAAGCCAAGAATGTGATTTATTTTTGCTCTAAGCACCAAGTGTGTATTTTACCCAGGAGGTGGCAGTGTCTGTAGTGTTTTGAGTCCCCTCACCTCCCTATCCTATGTCAACAAGAGCTGGATTGTTTGTGAGCAGTGCCAGCACGCATTCCAGAGGTGATTGGTTTCCTCAGRTCACACTAAAGTTGCTTTTAATTTCTGGGGAAATTAGAACTTATTTCAAGATAGCCTCGTGTCCCACGGTTAACTCCCAATCCTTAGAAAAGGGCACATCAGCGCAGGCAACCCATCAGTGACTCCCTTGGCCATTTAATTTCGGAAAACTCATGAAAGCCAGATCCAAACTCGTTATTTGTGGGCTTAAAGTCACCAGATTTGGAGAACAGCAAACTTCTTAATGTGTTGTTTAGCAAATCAATAGCTTTTCTTCTGGTTTCAAAGTCTCCAGAGACACAGTGAGGTTTGCCATCAGTGTTGGGTACCGCCACTTCGACTGTGCCTACGTTACCAGAACAGGAGCAAGATCGGGGATGCGCTGCTGCAAAAAATTGAGGAGGGTGTGGTGAGGTGAGAAGAGCTCTTTATTGTCAGCAAGGYGAGTCCTTGGAAAATGTGCCTCACACCAGGCCAGCTCTCGGGAGGAGAGACAAGATCCTGACATCCAAAGTACCATGGTCTGGGAATTAACTCCTTTCTGTCAGAGCAAAGCAATTTGTGGATGGTGGGGGAAGGAACAGGTCAGCCCTTGAAAAACAAAAGGCTTGGTTTGAGAGGGGTTTTTTTTGTAGTCCATATCCATTGTCAGCCATGGAGACAGGAACTGAGGCCGTGCTCTCGGTGGCCTCTGGGATAGGAAGCAGGGCTATTGTGTTCRTGGTCACTCCCGCTGCGCTGCCGGCCTCAGCCTGTCAACTCCTCTATGTTGTGCTTTGTTTTGTTTTTTCCCCCCAACAACAATGGTAGGAAAAATAAAGTAACTTCTATCTGCTGGAAGCTGGCCGGTTGATTTTCAGCAGGTTCACTTTTCTTTGTTTTAATTGTTGCAATAATYGTTGGAATTTTAGAGCGTCCCATTCTCATTTCACTTGGTTGACAGTACTGCAAATAAAATAAGGTGCATGCAAGTGGCACTTGTCAAAGATGAGAAGATGTGCCACATCCTGAGCTGCCTCTGTGTCTGTGCCATGTTTCCCTGGCAGGGAWGCTCTGCCATTGTGAGGGCAGGAGAGCAGCTCCCAGGCTTTGTGTTCCCCCACAGCTGTGGTCCACCTTCCATGAGAGATCCCTGGTGAACAAGGGGTGCCAGAAAACATTTGCTGCCCTCCAGCTGGATTATTTGGATCTCTAYCTGATGCACTCTCCCATGGGATTTAAGGTATTGTGGCTTTAACTGCTGGACACGATCTGTCAGAGCTCTGCCCCTTTTGCCTTTGGGACCATGTCTTTAGTCCTCTCCAACCAGGAGTTAAACCTCATTGGGACATAAGGATAAACCCCTGCAGGGAGAGCCCAGGAGGAAAGGTAAGGTCATGGCTGCCCAAACTAGGTCTTGTAGTACAAAAATGTCCTTATTTTACCCTGCACAGCATTTCCAAGTCATGGATCAAATTACCATCCAGATCACATTCCCCTTACAGAGTGGGATTTGGCTGTCATTTCTTTCTCCAGAATCAAACAGTTGTGAATTACTTAGCTCCATTTTTCTCTYTTCTCTCTAACCCCAGGTTAAATAAATCCTCATTTCCCCATCATGTCATCTCCCTGGCTTTTTCCCAACCTGACTGAGGCACACAAAAGTGCCTGTCTTTTTCTGCCTGCAACACAGTCTCAAGAAGCAGATTTTCTGAAGATTACTCTATTGGTACAGGTTACTTATTTTGGCCACGTCTCACTCCACCCCAAAAATGTCAGGATATCCAGCTCAGTGTCTCCAGCWCCACTTGCTTTTTGAAGTTTCTAAGTGATTTCTTTAAGTACTTATAATTCATCTGACCTTAACTTTGCTTTTCTTTTATGCTGATAGGCAGGGGAAGAGCTATTTCCTGCAGATGGAAACAGCATGATCATTCCCAGTGATACAGATTTTCTAAATATGTGGGAGGTACGTTCATTGATAGGCCAAAAATACCTTGCTAGTTTGAAATAACAGCCTGAAAATTCTAAGCTTTCCACTTTGGGAATTGTTCTGAGAGATTTTCTCACGTAAAGTATTCRAGATTGCTGATTTCTCTTGTGTCCTTGGGCTC